TTCTCGTGTTATCCTCGTTCAACCACTTGGTCTTTTGGACCAAATAAGGATTAACCGAAAGTGAGTCTCTGTGAAACCAGTAAGGAAATGGTTTGCTTTAAACTCACTTTGTCTACTGTTCTGAATAATTAACATATATGGAAAATAATAAATTCTTTGCTTGTTGGAATGTGTCAGACTGAAAGAATCGACACAATAGCATAATACGAAGGTAGTAATATAGAAAACACACAAGCTTTAGGTTCCTGAAACTTAAGAAACCTCTATTTCTTGTGCTTTCTAGGCGATAGGATCTTAAGGATCTCCTCTACATGACAAGTCCATAAGTATTTCGTCACCACAGTGGTAAACTCATATTTATTCGTAAATAGTTTCAACATCAATGTTTGTATTAAGGTACTGACCTCATTCACATCTTCATCGGGTCATCTTATTTGCTGGTTTTACCTTCGATATCTCTATATCCAGTTACCCCACCAAGAGAAACCTTGTGGTGCTTAATGTTCTATTGAGGTGTAGCATTTCCACACAATTCTCGATTTAACAGTTCTATACTCAATTGACCCCATTGAAAATCCACCGTCAGGAGACTGTTTTGTAATATTCAAAAATCGATTTACACTAACTTGTAATAGCTTGATTACTTTATTGGTCGCTAGAAAAACTCTATAACTATCAAGAAGTCAATATTGAGTGAAGTTTGATAACGAAGTATATATAATATGTATTCTCCTCATTCTCCACATTGGGTAAGATATCCCGGCCTGAAGTCCGCTACTGTAGTTGTTGAACGTAACTCAAAAAGGTTACGGGTGTGTTGTTTCCATTCTATTTGACTTTTTGGCTTATTGTTGAAATTATATTAGGAATTGTCTAAAATGCCTTATATGATAACAAAGGACATTTTTGTGTTTTGGTTGCCTTAAACGGATTTTTAAAATTATTTTTTTTTTATTTTTCCAAGCGCCTTTGCTGCTGACTAACAGAAGAGTCGCAAAACACAGCAGACCAGAACTGCGCCGAGCAGGGCAGAGCAGCGAAACCTTTTTACATGAAATGCAAAATAAAATTAAAATTGTTATAAAAAATGAAGCTGTTTGGATCCTTCACACAAAAATGGATATACAAAAACAAAATACATAAGAATGTAAAAAATTGCTTAAATAAAAATTGTTGCTTATGTCTGTTCGTACGAGTATTCCGGAGCGCTCAGTGTATTTGCATAAGTGTTACGTATGCGGATGTCCAGGGTCTAAATTGAATTACATGCGAACACAAATAATTCTCCATTTTCTGGAATTTATTTCTATTATACCATTCACTTGTGCCGGATTAGTGATGTTCAATTTCAGTTCATGCATTGGAAAATTCAATTTGTAACCCAACTGCACGCGGACGATAACAGCATTTAAAGCTGCAAGCAATCGAATGTTTCGCAAATTGAAACTGACATATCGGAAGAGTGTCAAGCAATAATAATCGCAGGACAGTAGAGGAAATCCCTAACACTCTTTAAATTATAACTGAAACTTAAAAAAAAAAAACATAAAGCTTTTAATAAATATGATACATGAGTTATGCAAAGTGCATTTATATAGACGTTATAAGCATTTTCTAGAACTTCTAATAGAAACCCTACATTGATACCCCTTTTATTGGGATAAGTTCCTTCTGTAGAATAATGAATGAAATCGAAGCTAAAATTATTGAATAACTTAATTTTGATTGTCTGGTTTAACTTTGTTTTGTTTATTTCCTTTATTTTTAAGTTGGCTTAAAATACTGATAATTCATACTAAAAGATGACTGGAAAAGTATACTGCCTGATAAGACAATACCCAATACAATTAAACAACAATAGTTGTAAATAATCGCTGAGCACTCCATTCAATATAATTGGACTAATATAATGTGCTATAGCTAACTACTGTCATTGTAGTCGTTAGCTACAGTAGTCAGCGACTGTTGCTTGATCGTGTGTTAGGTATCATACGAAATACAATAGCCAGCGATTATAATCTAATCGAGTAAGGCATGCCTGTCGTAAGAGGTGCCTAAAATTCAGTAGAAACCACCTGATATTGTTTGAAGTACAAGTTGTAGCGGTGCGTATCACTTACGCTACCCAAGCAGTAACTTAAGTCTAGTACTACGGTGGTCAGAGCTCTAAGATTCTGCTATTCTGCTATATATATAGAAGTTGGCCCCTTAAGGGAGTATCGCGGTGTCTGTTGTTAAAACCTGTATTACAGGGGTAGAATGTTTATATTCATTACTTTCATTCAATGTAAAGTTGTGGTTTTTAACTACAAGCCACGCCCAGCAGAGTTGTTAAATAGGTCTCTTTCCTTTCCAAAAAAAAACTATATCCAAACATATAGATTCAGTTTGTATCGATGAATTTTCTTGGAAGTACGCATATATTTAGGGGCATTATATCTACACATGTATTAATAGAAGCGTAATGTTAAGCCTTCCCTGCAGGAAACCTCCTCAAGAAAATTATGGACCCAATAGTTTAATCGAGCTTTGAAAACTAAACTGTATACATATAGCAACTCAAAAATGTGCGGGAGGTATAAAGGAAATATTCTATATTATATATCACATATTTTTTAATATATATTGTATGTTTCATATATATATGAATATATATTTAATTATGGTGTTGCATCTTATTTTCGTTCTAATTTAATAGTTACAATGTCACAATAGCCCTTGAAAAAAGTAAGTCTTATAATAATATAATTTTCACAATGTTATCTCGGTACCTTAATTACCATTTCATCAATCGATCATTGATTCAATTAATTTACTACTTACCAAACCATTAGTGATATTTTTCTTGCAATATTCAAGGTAATTAGGCAAACACTACAAATAAATGCTGTTTAGACTAACGCATAAAACATATTTACATGACATTAAACGTAAAGTGGTGTTCACACTGACATATTTCTTTTGTTCAAATGTAAAGCAAATAAATTTGGTTTGTGGATAGTATGGAATTTACTATCATAATAGATTCAAAGGATTTAAATAGTATCTAATTGGTATCAAATTGTGTACAATTTTAAAATTTTCATTGAATTTCAAAACATTTTCATTAGTTTTGGATTATGGAAATTATGGAATACCACTTCATCCATAATTTGATTTTAACTAAAAGAATAATTCATAATTCATATGCACTCTTTAGAGTGAGTTTAACTTTATATCATACTTTATCTATTTTATAGTATATGTTAATAATTTAGTTTCGAGACCTCCCTCTATATAGCATCATAAGCTTTATTAAAGGTTCTGGATGGTTTTTAAGTCTTATACACACATTTTTTATATTGTTATTAATAAATTTTCATCGTTAATTTACTTAACGAGTTCCGACCGCAGGAATGCATTTCAACGTGCTGTTTTGTTTCTTTAAGTTCCTACAAGATACCTCTTTGAAATGTCGTGAATGCAAACTCTATGATATCATTTTACATTTTTATACAACATTTGATTTGTCATATACTTTTAAACCCCACATTTTATTAAAAGACATTAAGCGTACTCATCTAAACTGATAAATGCCTTATAAACCTTATAAATGTATAAGTTTATCTACTTGGTAAATGAAGTAGCAAATTTACTGAATAAAATTTATTAAATTTTAAAATTCTGTAAAATAGGTTCTATACTACTTTTTACTGATGCAACAGGTCTTAGAGAAGGGGACACAATAGATCCGACAGGCGCTGTGTGAATTTTAATAAACAACAATTATAAAAAATAATAAATTTTCAGGAACGTTTTACCGAATAATTTTATCGTAAACATTTATCTGTTGTCAACACAGAGATAACAGCTGATTGGAAACCCGTTGCCTGTTCTTTGTAAATACGTTTAAACTCTTCGCTCAATTTTAGCTTTTTATTTTATAATTTATTGGTAGCGACACAACTAATCGTATTTAATATTGCACCCACATTGGTTAAACTTACAAAAATATTTGATTAGGTATGTTCATGTAACAGTGTATTAGAAAATATATTTGATAAAATTATGTGTTTAGTTTTCCTTACTAATTTCTTTCCAATAATTTAGATTGAACGAAATTATATATTATCCACTATATATACATATATTTTATATTATTATACAAAAATGAAAAATGAAAGCTATTTGTTAATCCTAAAAATATAATCATATATACAATTGAGTTCTTCTAATTATCGGCGCGTTATCAAAATCTTATCTTGTAATATTTTTTAAAAGAATTAATGTAAGTGGTTAGTAATTTTCCGTCATGAGTATATGACGTCAGTTACAATTTTTATCTGTTACAACATAAGAGATTCAGACAAAGATATTTTATAAAATTGGGTGATAAAGCGAAACGCAACGGAAACTATTAGAATATTTTTATTACATTACTCCGATTGTAATTACAGATACAACTATTAAAACTGTTTTAGCGAAAATTATTCATTAAAATTATTTAAACAGTAAATATCTTTCAAAACGTAAATGAAATTGAAAAAAAACTAAATATACTGTATATATATTATATTCAATTTATATGCATCAAGTAATATATATGTATATAGTTGTGTGTGAATATATTTTTATATAAAGAAATACATATGAATTGTTAGTATGTACTTATATATACTTATATATATTTATATTATATGTATATATATATATAAATATATATTTCTAATAATAAATTAATTGATAATGTTTTAATTTTGATTATCATTATAACTATACAACATACATAAAATCATTATTCAAAACCCAAACAAGTTGAAATAATTAGTTGTTTTGATATTTCACTTAAATTTCATTTACTTGTTTCAAACAATTTTATACCATATAATATCTAAGTAAAACATTTCATATATGCAATTATATTTATAATGTAAATGTTTTTTATATATTTAAGTTTTAACATTATTGTATATATATTTTGTGCAATATTCTAAATAAAAATGCTTTTAATAATATTTCAGTTTTCATACAAAACATAAAATGGATAACAACCCTGTTCATGTCAGACAGCTGTTTAGTAATTTCGACAAACTGTTCCTAAACAGCTGTTCTTGTTTCATTGTTTGCAAACGCACAAAGTGGTTGGACGCTTTGATAGGTGTTAAGAAAAGATTTATTAGTTGTTTAAGATTTTCAACGAAAACTTCCACAAAGATGGAGAATGTTACAATCATTTTGCAAAATGCATTTAAATGTGATGAAGAAAACAGAAACATGGAAGCCGAAATGTATTATACGAAGGCCATACAAATTGTAATGGAAATGGTTAGAGGTAAATGCAGAAATTTTGTTTACATTGTTTTTATGCTAAAAAATTAAATATTATATATAACAGCCTTCGATGACGAAAAAAAGAAAAAATTTTTGCAAAAAATCAAAGAGTATATTGAACAAGCTGAGAAAGTTAGAACGCGCATTGACACTTTAAGACGTTGTGGCAATCATGTAACTGAGGTGCATATCGAAGATGATGCTACAGGTTACAGTTATGACGTGCTATTTGGAACGTATTTGAACGCAGGGGTGAAAGAAATACTGATTGAGGAAAGCTACTTAAGAGAAAAACATCAGGTGTGGTTACAAATATTATATATATTTTTCATTTTATTTTATTTATTTTAATTTAGTTAAAAAATCTCGTAAGATTTTTTGAATTATCAATTAAGAGCTGCCCAAATTGCAGATATGTGCGTGTGGTAACTACCGTAGATCCAAATACAAAGTCCGAACAAGCTGCCATATTGGATGAAATAAAGACGAATTTAGCCAACAGAAATGTTCATCTTAATATTGTGTATGACAATATACATGATCGCAGAATTGTGTAAGAACAGAACATATGTGTAATTTGATATCAAGCGGTTTTTCCAAAGAATTGTATTTGTTTTCTATTTACAGTCTAAGCAATGGATACATCATAATATCTGGTAGAGGACTTGATATTTATAAAAAGAATGAGGGCAATTTTGGACTAGGTGTTTGTGATTATTTTTACAGAAAGTGCAAACGTACGGATATAACGATTATGCGAAGCTCTGGTTTTACTTAAGCAGCGTATGCTTTGACTGTACTTTTTCTAGATAATAAGTTCCATTATATATAATACGTATTTTAAGAAGATATTTTATACAATATTTACAAATGTACTTAAGAAGAGAACACTCATAAATTTTTTACGTGTACCATGAATAAAGATGACATTCATACCAAATGACATGTAAGCGTTTTAATAAATTCTGTACTCGACAAAAAAACTATTTCAGTTTTTCGTTATTATTTTTAATTATTATTACTAATCAGGTGTACATTTTTAAAATGTTGTGAAAGTTTCTGATTATATTTACTACTTATAAAAAGATAAGACATGATTACTAAGCGTTACGATTGTCTTTTAATTTGTTTTATTCAGTGCATGATAGATAAGCAATCCTTTTCAGAAACATTTGTATCAGAAACATTTGTGATAATATTGAGAACATAGTTTAATGGCGTACCAACACTGCGTTATCAAATCTCAAAATGGTTGTAGACTCCTCGAGAAGGGGTCAATTATTGCTTAGTCTGATGAAGTGTTTATCAGCCAAGGCGTGGAGAGGGGTTATAAAGAAACCTCCCAGTTAATAAAGAGTAAAAGTGCTCAAGTGACTCAACTATCCACAACATAATAATAATATATTTTATTTAAATAAGATATGTTATCTTTATTGACATGAAAGTTTGAATTTGAAATATACAAATAATATTAAACTTGCCTTATTTTAATTGAAAATGGGCTGCAACGTACCTCACAGAAAACCCTCTATGCGCCTATTTATATGCGCATAAATTTTCACGCGCTAAATTTCAATGGTTTTTACCGTTACAAATGTACTAATATGTACTGGTTAGGGTGCCAAAAGTAATACCTACCGCATACCAGGCTGTACTACATATCAACGGCATAAATCACTTACAGAATCCGTAGCTGTCAAGTAGCATTTTTGGCAAACTACTGCACTGCAAAAAACAGAAAGTGCATGCTGCGCGGCATTGAATGCAGTATTTTAAATTCATGCCACCGATTTTGGAACCACCAAAGAATACTTTAAATACTGGGCTGTTGCTCCATTGTAAAATCATCTACGTATGTGTATGTGCCTGTGCTTTTTGTGTGTGTGTGTGGTGGTATGTAATTGTGCAGACACCAAACACAAACTATATTATTTTGGTGCTTTATTGTGTGTGGGGTGGGAAATGCCACATCCCCATTGCTTTCAACCCAGCAGGATGCATTTTCTCTAGATAACATTGCAGTGCTAAATAAAATCGAAAGCATTACACACGCTTGAGTTGTTGCATCGCAATCGCCATGTGCGACAACTGCTAGGTTGCAGCTCTCCGCTCCAGAAGTTGTTACCGTAGTCGAGCCTGGAAAACGACAGCATTGTTGGCAAAATTCAAGTAAAATCGTTCCAATATTTCAAATTGACAATTTTCTTTTGCTTTTACATTTTGATAATTTTTTCCGTAATGTTTAAATTGAAATTATATTGAAATATGAAATAAAATTAAATTTTTTTTATTTTTAAAATTTTTCTGAAATTCGCATTGCAAAAAAAAAACTATAAAAAGAAAATAAAAAAATATGTAAAGGAACTGAATCGATTTAACTTAACTTAAAAAGTATTAATAACATTTGCTGAGTTAAATGTTCAATATCCTTTAAAACAAAACGATCCAAATGGCAAATATGTTCAAGTTATTATAAAATGAAAGGGTCAAAATTCCAAAAATAATGAAATTAACTTCAAAAAACGTATTAATAATGTGTATTAATTTAAGTAGAATATATATGTTAATGTTATTGTTGTTGTAAACCGCTGAGACCTGTAAGCAGACAACATGAAAGGATATACAAGACAATTACGTGGGTAGGGAGTTGGTTGGTTAGTGGCTGGGTAAGATGGAGGGGGGAAGATGATGAGAATTGAGCGGGTTGGATGAAATTGAACGTTAATCTGGATCCAGCTGAAAAACCTGGCCACTTCAATGGGGTGGGTCCAAAAGTCATTTGGACGAGGGTTTGCTAGAACATGCACTTAACGAAGCTTTCACTACATATACTATATATTGCAATAAATATTCATATATTACAGATCTCATATAAAGCTCTAGAGATAACAAGACTCAAAACACTCATGTTAACTGAGTGCCTCACCGTTACGGCGAGTTTAACCATTAATAAGAACGTAATAAGAACATCAACTATTATACACTAAAAGAAACTACTTTTATATTTTCAACATTTAAAACTATTTACAATTGGGCTAGGAGAACTTAAATATATTAATCCAATGAAAGCGATACATTTTCTTTGGCAAAATATATAAAACTTTTTTAATTTATTTTTTATATTGTAGTTCTAATATGTACATTTATATACAATTTATTTAAACTAACTTAAAATTAAAAATAATTTTTTAAAAAACTGCCTTGAAAGCGGAGCATGAAGAAGCGTTACAACTCTAAATAAAAATTATATAAGAAATTTTAATAAAACGGTTTAAATGTATTTACAAAAGAAATACTGACCTCATTCCAAAAATAACGAATAAGTTTTAACGCAATCATGTGGCGCTGGTGGCTTAAATATTTGTTCTCCTTTTTCATCCTTATAGTCGGCATAATATTGAATGTTTTCACATTTCATATGCAAACGTTCACATATACGCGCAGAATATACTGAAGTGCAGTCGGCAGTCAACAGTTTACAACCAAGACTAGAAAGATGATCTCTTAGTTTAGTCAATAGCATGGAACCATGAGATTTACCACGATATGTGGGTTCGACAGCTAAAACATGGGCGTGATACGCTTCCGTTATATCATATTTCTCAAACACGTTGGCATCGTATTCTATTTTAGCGAGAAATTTTATTATTGTACCCCACTTGGTGCCCTCCACCTTCTCTGCTTCTTCACATAAATGTTCATACTCAGTTGCACCTTTTGGCCCAGCCAATACTACTCCAGCTACTTTTTCCTCTTTCTTACCTTCGTTGGCTAAAGCCATAAAGCAAGCACCATGTTTAATATTTCCCATATTGAACTTAATGTCATTTGGATCCGGCTCCTTGGGTTCAGTTCCTATAGTCAATGGTTCTTCTGGATAGTAATATTTGAAAAGAAATTCAAGCACACGTTCATAATCTTCCCTTTTAATTACTTTCGTCGTTAAAGTTGTTTCCACCATCGTTTTTAACCGCTTGCGATCACAAAATAACCTGGCAGCCGAAACTTTACTTTTTAAGAACAACATATCAGTGGGAACAGTCGATAATGACAGAGAAGGGCAGATATGACAGCAATAAAAAAAACCATCAAGTGATCTGTTTGTAAAATTTGGCATGGGCATATGAAAGAAAATTAATTTAAAGTAACCGTTCACTCTGGCACAATAGATCTTTTAGGTCGCAGTGCACGATCCCTTACTCAATAACCGTTCACTCTTGTATTAAAAATGACTTCAATTAGCATAATTGACATTTCTTGCAATAATATTTTATATATATTTGAAAAGAAAACATTTTAAAAATTTATAGAATAATGGAATAATTAAGTTGTAAATGTAGATTTAACAAAAAATATCACAAAATATTACATATTTAGCTGATTCACAACATAGTCAGAATGAAGTCATGTATAAATTGCTGTCTTTAATTTATATGTCAGACGTAATTAACAATAAAATAATATTAATAACTCAAAATAATAAATAAATGTAAAATATGATATGAAAATCAATTCAAAAGTATTCTTCTGAAGTTTGCAATAACAAACTCTGTTGGAAAGGGAGAATAAGCTCTGGTTTTGAAGGCAATATATGAAATGCTTTAACTTATTGTAATTATTATTTTGCATTTTAGGATAGAGTCACAATAAAATATTGTTTTTGTGTTCATATTCTGTACTTTTAGCATAAAAAACAAGTAAAGCTAACAGTTTCGCTCTACTAGAACCCTGGTGTTTTCTATTATATTATCTATTTTACTTAAAAATTGTTTGCTAATATTAACCAATAAAACTATTTTAACTATACAAAAAAAATAAAAAAATATGTAAAGCAACTGAATCGATTTAACTTAACTTAAAAAGTATTAATAACATTTGCTGAGTTAAATGTTCAATATCCTTTAAACCAAAACGATCCAATGACAAATACGTTCAAGATATAAATGAAAGATTCAAAATTTCAAATAAAATAATGGAATTAACTTCAAAAAACGTATTAATAATGTGTATTAATTTAAGTAGAATATATATGTTAATGTTATTGTGTTGTTGTAAACCGCTGAGACCTGTAAGCAGACAACATGAAAGGATATACAAGACAATTACGTGGGTAGGGAGTTGGTTGGTTAGTGGCTGGGTAAGATGGAGGGGGGAAGATGATGAGAATTGAGCGGGTTGGATGAAATTGAACGTTAATCTGGATCCAGCTGAAAAACCTGGCCACTTCAATGGGGTGGGTCCAAAAGTCATTTGGACGAGGGTTTGCTAGAACATGCACTTAACGAAGCTTTCACTACATATACTATATATTGCAATAAATATTCATATATTACAGATCTCATATAAAGCTCTAGAGATAACAAGACTCAAAACACTCATGTTAACTGAGTGCCTCACCGTTACGGCGAGTTTAACCATTAATAAGAACGTAATAAGAACATCAACTATTATACACTAAAAAAAACTACTTTTATATTTTCAACATTTAAAACTATTTACAATTGGGCTAGGAGAACTTAAGTATATTAATCCAATGAAAGTGAAACATTTTCTTTGTCAAAATACATAAAACTTTTTTAATTTATTTTTTATATTGTAGTTCTAAGATGTACATTTATATACAATTTATTTAAACTAACTTAAAATTGAAAATAGTTTTTTAAAAAACTTCTTTGAAAGCGGAGCATGAAGAATCGTTACAACTGTAAATAAAAATTATATAAGAAATTTTAATAAAACGGTTTAAATGTATTTACAAAAGAAATACTGACCTCATTCCAAAAATAACGAATAAGTTTTAACGCAATCGTGTGGCGCTGGTGGCTTAAATATTTGTTCTCCTTTTTCATCCTTATAGTCGGCATAATATTGAATGTTTCCACATTTCATATGCAAACGTTCACATAGACGCGCAGAATATACCGAAGTGCAGTCGACAGTCAACAGTTTACAACCAAGACTAGAAAGATGATCTCTTAGTTTAGTCAATAGCATGGAACCAAGAGATTTACCACGATATGTGGAATCGACAGCTAAAACATGAGCGTGATACGCTTCCGTTATATCATATTTCTCAAACACGTTGGCATCGTATTCTATTTTAGCGAGAAATTTTATTGTTGTACCCCACTTGGTGCCCTCTAACTTCTCTGCTTCTTCACATAAATGTTCATACTCAGTTGCACCTTTTGGCCCAGCCAATACTACTCCAGCTACTTTTTCCTCTTTCTTACCTTCGTTGGCTAAAGCCATAAAGCAAGCACCATGTTTAATATTTCCCATATTGAACTTAATGTCATTTGGATCCGGCTCCTTGGGTTCAGTTCCTATAGTCAATGGTTCTTCTGGATAGTAATATTTGAAAAGAAATTCAAGCACACGTTCATAATCTTCCCTTTTAATTACTTTCGTAGTTAAAATTGTTTCCACCATCGTTTTTAACCGCTTGCGATCACAAAATAACCTAACAGCCGAAACTTTTTTTAAAAACAACATATCAGTGGGAACAGTCTATAATGACAGATAAGGGCAGATGTGACAGCAATAAAAAAAAACCATCAAGTGATCTGTTTGTAAAATTTGGCATGGGCATATGAAAAAAAATTAATTTAAAGTAACCGTTCACTCTGGCACAATAGATCTTTTAGGTCGCAGTGCACGATCCCTTACTCAATAACCGTTCACTCTTGTATTAAAAATGACTTCAATTAGCATAATTGACATTTCTTGCAATAATATTTTATATATATTTGAAAAGAAAACATTTTAAAAATTTATAGAATAATGGAATAATTAAGTTGTAAATGTAGATTTAACAAAAAATATCACATAATATTACATATTTAGCTGATTCACAACATAGTCAAATGAAGTCATGTATAAATTGCTGTCTTAATTTATATGTCAGACGTAATTAACAATAAAATAATATTAATAACTCAAAATAATAAATAAATGTAAAATATGATATGAAAATCAATTCAAAAGTATTCTTCTGAAGTTTGCAATAACAAACTCTGTTGGAAAGGGAGAGTAAGCTCTGTTTTTGAAGGCAATATATGATATGCTTTAATTTATTGTAATTATTAATTTGCTTTTTAGGTTAGAGTCACAATAAAATATTGTTTTCGTGTTCATATTCTGTACTTTTAGCATAAAAAACAAGTAGAGCTAACAGTTTCGCTCTACTAGAACCCTGGTGTTTTCTATTATATTATCTATTTTACTTAAAAATTGTTTGTTAATCGTAACCAAAAAAACTATTTTAACTATTCATTTCATAACGTTGGAAAGGATGAAAAATTTACTCATCACCCATTTACGGATATACGTCATACCAGTTGTGATTATTTTGAACTCAATAAATGATTGCGGCCTTTAGTTCTCTGCAGTTTGTCGGTGCTTTTGTATGCTAATATTCAGGCAGGATGCACCCTCATTAGCGTGACGTATCCAATTTTTAAATGCAACATCTGAAATTACGAAAAAAAAATGTTTAATGTATAAAAATAATTCCAAGCCTTCGAAATGTTTTTTTATTCAAATCATAATTTTTTTATATTTTATTTACACGTAGGTTTTATATAAAAATTATCTTTTGGAATCATACTTTTCACAATGAAAGGAAGTGACATACTTTTGTACTATAGCAATTTATATTTTAATTTAAAATACAACAATTAAATTAAGAGAAGTGCAAATTTTTTTAAATAAATTTGCATTCTAATTTAGCATATTACAATTATTTCAATTAAATTTGGCTTTTGCGTTCTATACAAAAAAAAAAATTGTAAATAAATTCCTTTATTCCATTTTACCCATTTCTAGAAATCTGTGAAAATCTTTTACGTCATTTTAATATTACTGTGGTGCATTCAGTTTCGAGGTCTAATCTATTTCAAGGGTGAATTATAAAGAGAAAAATTAAATTTATTGTTTTTTTTTCTTTGCTTGATCAACATACTTTTGCATCAACATACTTTCCCAGAAATGTCCTCCAGATCTGGCCGAACACTTAATTGTTTATATTGGAAGAAATAATATGGAACTCCTGCCTGGATGCATTCATCACACCATATTTACTTAGTAAGTAACAATCCAACAATGATTACAGTAGTATTACTGCATTATTAACAAAAAGCCTTGTCAATGATTGAAGAGTATTTTTAGAGCCATCGTGCTATAATGACAGGCACATACGTTTTAGACTGGGGAGTACGCTCTTCAGCAATTTTTTGTGAAATAATATTATTTTACTTAAAGTTGTACCGACCAATTTAAAGTTTAATGGAGCTGTAATATAAAAATATAGATTATAAAAATATGATAAACAATTCCCTAAGCAATTCTATATATGTCGTAAAGACCAGGAATGTTTTACTAATACTAAATCGTTGCAATATTTGTCGTAATATCTGTGGTATTTTTCTTAAATTAATTTATTTAAAATAATATATAAATGAAAATATTACCGTTAACTTCACAGCTTCTTGAAGATTTGTTTAAATGCTTTGTCCAAACCAGACAAATAAATTATGAAATGCACATTTGCAGTTTCAGGGTAATAATTTAACATATTTGCTGAGTTCTGATTAATTAATTTATTTATTATTAATCTTAAGGATTTGTCAGAAGGGGCACTGGTTGACAATCTCACTGATGACTTCAGTACAAATAGAATAAAATTTGAATGAAATAAAATACGAAGCGCAGCTGTGGGTGGTGAGCCATAAAATAAATGCAAACAAAAACCTAAATCATAAACAATACCAACAATTTCAATATATTCATTGCAATCACCAAAATAAGTGAGAAGTTGGCATTTGATCCCCAAAATATCCTTGGGTGAATAAACATTTTGTACGTTAACATTGGAGTAGCACGCAAGCAAATATAGTTCGGTTTACATTAAATTAAGCAAAGATTAATGCCAAACACAACAACGACAACAACAACAACACAATGGTACAGAACTCCACATCCATTAACATACCAGTAAACGACAATTACGTAGCAACTTCAAGTGCACATGTGACCGACAACAAGTGCAG